CTAACACAGATGGCAAAGCAGAGAGAGAAGCAACAACTAAAGGGTGGGAAGGAGACATGTAAGAATCTTCATTTCCAGAGACATGACGGAAAACAATAGACGTAATTAGTTTTACCCTAATTTTAGTCAAAAGGGCTTGTAACCTGTCAGAAGATGGCCTGGAAGATTTGAGCCAGGGCTAGATCTCTAGGTCACAGAACTCAGGCATTAGGGAGTTCTCCCAAAATTACACACCAGCCACTGAGGGAGTGTGGTTGATGACCAGCCATACGGTGTGTCTCCACTGGCAGTGGTGACAGGATGTAGCCACAACCCAAACCAGCTTCACCAGTAGTCAGACCTTTACATAGTTTCCCCAGATGACAGAAGTCAGAAATGTTTCAAAGATTTATGATCTGCCCCACCCACACATTCAGAAGTTAAGGAGAGTGAGGAGTCAAAAAACCCCCAAACATGTCTTCCACATTGTAACTCCCAGCTAGGAACCTACTCAGGGGCTTTAAAACTAAATGAGATTAGAGATTTAAAGAGACGTATTTTAATAATATCAAATGACTTTGCAGTTATGGACTCTGTTGAAGGTGCTATTAAGTAATCAGCTATGGAAAGGAAAGGACAATTTGCAAGAACACATTTGGGAGTTGTGATTACTATGGGGGAAATATTTAATGTTTATATAACCTGGGTCCAAACTGTTCAAAAAGCAAATATGCACATAGAGTAACACCTCCCCAATCCAAGCCTACTTCGTTAGCTTCCCTGGCTGCAGAGTCAAGCACTTGGGCACATGCATATGAATATGCGTGTAATATATTGGAACGTGAATTTCTGGTGGACACGTTTCAGCAGAGCTTCCAGACTAAGACAGACTGGCTGGGAAGAAAGGCATAGTGATCTATTTCAGGAAAATACCTAATGAAACTCCATGGAACACAACATAATACTCTCCAGTATACTGCTGGAAGATGAACCTGTGTTAGGCCAGGTTGTATAGAGAAACATACCCCATGACACTCATTTGTGTGTAAGAGAGAGCTTTATATCAAGAGCTAATCATATGTCGATTAAGCATCACAGCCCAGTCCAACTCAAGTGCATATGTCCCATGCTAGTCCATATGTCCTTCTTCAGACTCACGTAGCCGCAGGCTGGGGATGCAAAAATAGGAACAGGGAAGCAGGAAGTTCACGAGCCAGTGGGTGCAGATGAGTGTGGATCCAAGGTCGATGGAAACACAGAAAGATGCCAACAGCTCTCAGGGATGAGTGACCCACATAGGGCCACCCCTGGAGGTAAAGTCTTAGCGGACAGGAAGGCAAAGAGGCAGAGAGAGGGGGAGGTTTCCATTTATCCCACTTATAAGGAAGCCACACCCCTAAGGAGGCATCATCAGGCTGTGACCTGATTAACTGGTTGGATCCCATGCCCACACTCTGATACATCTTCAAGTTGACATACAATCTGATACAACCCCCTAGTTTGGAAGTCACTATAAATAACCACAACTATGGACTCAAGCAGACCAGTGATTGTGAAGGATTGGGAAACATTTCATTCTACTGTGCATGAGGTCATCCTGAATAGAGTCAGCTTGAACAACTGACAACTAATGACAAAAACACATGGAACCAGAAGACTAGCTTGACTTCTGCCTCTGTTAATTTGCAGTTGTGTGGTTTGGGCATAAAATGTATCCTTTTGTAGCTACTTGTCTCCTCATTGTAAAACAAAACAAAAACCTCACTGACATAGAGTCCATTTAACTCTGACTCTTAACAACCCTATAGAGACAGTAGAACTGCCCTGGTGAGATTCTGAGACTGCAACTCTTTACAGGAGTGGAGAGCCTCATCTTTCTCCCATTGTAAAGTCGGCCATAATAACACCTTATAACGGAGCTGTAAAGATTCAACTTTAGGGATATGTAAAGTATAACAATTAATTTGCTGTAGTTGTTGTTATTGTGGCAAGTATCATCATTAACATCAGAGAATTATCAGGAGGCATAAAGAGGAAATAAAAGGAGCTGCAAATGAAAAGTTAAATAGAATTTACTTTAGAGTAGAACTTCTGAAAATAACAAATATTATTTCTTATGTGATTCCAGAGCAATATTTTTTCTTTTTATGGTAAATTTGGGGGTGGGGTATTAAATTTAAGATCATCATTTTTATATTCAACAATTTAAGCAACGTATCAAACATTTGACATTGAATAAGGAAGACCAAAGAAGAATCTATGCATTTGAATTAGGATGCTGGAGAAGAATATTGCAAGTACCATGGACTGCTGAAAGGACAAACTGCTCTGTCTTAGAAGAAGCACAGCCAGGGTGCTCCTTAGAGGCAAGGATGGTGCGACTTGGTTTACATACTTTGGACATGGCAGGAGAAACCAGTCCCTGGAGAAGGACATCATGGTTGGAAAAGTGGTGAGTCAGCCAAAGAGAAGAAGGCCTTCCAGGAGATAGACTGACACAGAGGCTACAACAATGGGCTTCAAGTATAGCACCAATTGTGAGGATGGGGCGGGACCAAGCCGTATTCGGGTCTGCTGTGAGTAAGATCACTATGGAGCAGTACCAACTTGATGGTCCCTAACCTAATAATATCAAACTTTCCAATAGCTTGCCCTGCCCCACCCACCCTTTTATCCCCCTTCTTCCTCCTCATGTATTGTATTCTCCTTCAATATAGCTGACACCTAGCAACCTTCTGGCCTATTGCTTCTTCTCTTCCTTCCCCTCCCACCATCATGGGTAACCATCAAAGTCTGTTTCTTTTATTATGAAAAATTTTATCTTGCTTTTTTTCCTTTATTTTTTTTACCTGTATGTTTCCATTTTTTTGTATGTTTCCATTTTTAATCATTTTATTAGGGGCTCATATGACTCTTATCACAATCCATACATACATCAATTGTGTAAAGCACATTTGTACATTCATTGCCCTCGTCATTCTCAAAACATTTGCTCTCCACTTAAGACCCCGGCATCAGCTCCTCATTTTTCCCCTCCCTCCCCTCTCCCCTTCCCTCATGAGCCCTTGATAATTTATAAATTATTATTTTTGTCATATCTTACCCTGTCCGATGTCTCCCTTCACCCACTTTTCTGTTTTTTTCCTTTATGACAAAAGTATCATATATTTGTCCTTGTGTGAGTGACTTTACTCACCACTCTCTCTTCCAAATCAGTCTGTACCATGAGGTGTTTCACAATCTCTTCTTTATTCTGTATATGTCTAAACAACTAAGTGGATTAATTGTGTTATTTAGTTCTTCTATGTTTTTATTTAGGAACCCTGGTGGCATACTGGATTATGAGTTGGGCCAGTAACAGCAAGGTAAGCAGTTCAAAACCACCAGATACCATAAGGAAGAAAGATAAGACTTTCTACTTCCATAAAAAAGTTATAGTCTCAGAAACCCACCTGGGCAGTTCTACCCTGTCCTATAGGGTTGCTATGAACCAGATTCGGCTTGATGGCAATGAAGAAGTGTATTTTTATTGAACTTCTTTCCAGTTCTGTCATATCTTGGGAATGGTATATTGAAGTCTCATACTATTGTTGTTATATTGCCTATTGCTCTCTTCAATACTGTTAAGTTTGATTAATGTATTTTGAGGATCTCTCATTGGGTGCAAAGATATTTCTTATGGCTATGTCTTTTTATTCAATTGCCCCTTTAATCATTATGTAATGCTCTACTTGTCTCTTATGATGGATTTCATGAAGTCTATTTATTAAAGATTAATATTGCTTCTCCTGCTTTTGAAATTGTCATTAACATATTTTCTCCCATGATTTTATTTTTAGAATATGTTGCTCTTTATGTCTAACTGTGTTTCTTGTAAACCACAAATTGATGGGTCCTGTTGTCATTCATTCTGCTACTCTCTGCCTCTTGACTAATGCATTTTATTTTCAGTGTCATTATTGATAGCTATGAATTTATTCCTGTTTTTTGCTTTGTGTTGTTCTGTGGTGATATTGGTTTCTTTGTTCTCAAAAATGTCAGAGCTGAGTTCATTTTTTGTGTTTGCTCATCATTTCTTCCCTGTTATTTTGCTGATTACTATGTCTTTGTGATTTTTATTACTAACCATATATTTTTCTCTGTTGTGTTTAGCTCACTTCTTGTTCATTCCTCAGAGACCCAGACCTTCAGGGTTTTCCCCCATATCAGTTTTCTCTATGTCTTTGTTGAAGAGGACCATGTAGTACATCCATCGAAGGCACCATCTTTCACCAGAAGTCCAGTTAAATTATTCTTACAGAAGGTAGAGGAAAAGACTGATAAGACCAGGCCATTAACTTCTTTTAAGAGGATAGAAATCAGAAAGAATTCTACCATGTAAAGGATGGGGAATGAGAAGCTAAGTAGGAAAATGGTAGATTATACTCAGATGGGCTAACTCAGACAGTTAGCCAAAAAAGGAGGCAGAGGATATACAGACATATGTAGTTAGACACAATTATGACAGATTAGCTGACTCAACAATAGAAACAGGCAACAAGAATTAACCCTCTCCTCTACCTTCCCAGGGAGAAAGAGCCAGCTAAAATAGGAAGCAGAGGTGTGAATGACCTTGGTACAGTGAATGGTAACTTGCACTGTATGAAGATGTGTTGACCAAAAAAACTCAGAACATAATCAGAGGAAGAAGTTAAAAGTATTGCAAACTTAAACTCAACAAAATAATGGCCTGGAATCAAAATAAAAGAGACTAATAGACAGTTTGGATCTGGAAAAGTGAGTGCAAATGATAAAATGACCACAATCTAGGTACTTCTAAAGAAGTAAAATACTGGACAAATTTATTAATACAAGAAAACAAACCAAAAAAAACCTTAAAGAAGGATTCTCCACTTGTACTCTTATCATTAGGAGTCAAAAAAAAGAAAATGAGGCTTTGGAGATATTTTCATTGTATCATTACTGCTCAAATTGTAATCATAGTCACAGTATTGTATAACATTCAAGAACATCAACAAAATATGGGACAAAAGGACTATACAGACAGTGAAGACCAAGCCCTTTCTTTATCACAATCCTGCAATGCAGTCCTAGAGCAGGAAACAGTGCGCATGCTGTCAAGCGCATTATCCACAACATTTGGAATAGATAGTTGCCCCTACTATGTGACAGAAAACCACTATATCACCAATCCTCTGTAGAAGAAGCCACATTCTCCTTGGCATATGTAATGATTGTTGGCCACGATTTTGATACATTTGAACGACTCCTCAGAGCTATTTACATGCCTCAAAATGTCTACTGTGTTCACCTAGATAAGAAAGCCACATATAAATTTAAACTTGCCGTGGGGCAATTAGTGGAATGCTTCCCAAATGTTTTTATAGCCTCAAAGTCTGAATATATCATTTATAGGGGAATATCCAAACTCCGGGCTGAGTATATCTGCATGAGAGAACTTCTAACTTCAGATGTGCACTGGAAATACATCATTAATATATGTGATCATGATTTTCCCCTGAAAACCAATAAGGAGCTAGTTCAATATTTGAAAACATGGAAGGGGAAAAATATTACACCTCACTTAGGGTCCATTCAGAAATCTGCTGAAAGGATCAACTATGTCCATATAGAGCATAGAAACAGAACAAACTCTTCGGTCTTAAAGAAAGAGCAAAAGAAGAACCCACCTCCGAATAAGCTTAAAATCCACTTTGGTTCAGCATATGTTGCTCTAACAAGGCAGTTCGTCCAATTTGCTCTTTTTAGTAAAATAGCCACTGATTTACTCCATTGGTCTCAAGATAGCTACAGTCCAGATGAACATTTCTGGATTACACTTAACAGTATTCCAGGTGAGTGTGGTTTCCTGTCTTATTTCTTTTTTGGTTGTTAATTTTTAGTTCTTAATTAACACTGTATCAAATATGATGAACAGCCTTGTTATAGTGCACTGTGATCCTAGATGAGCAGTTTGAATCCACCAGCCACTCTGCAGGAGAAAGATGAAGCTGTCTAATCCTGTAAAGATCTAGTCTCAGAAACCCAAAGGGCAGTTCCACCCTGTCTTATAGGACCACGATGAGTCAGAATTGATTCAATGCAATGAGTTTTGTTTAGTTTTGTTTTGTCTTAGTGCTCTTAGAGCAGGTCTTTCCTAATAGGAATCCCAATTACCAAAAGTAAGTATCATCACATTTTAAGCTGTTTTTCCTGTTGGTTACTTTCGTATAAAGTATAACTATGATTGTTAGATTTTATGTCAACTTGATAGTCCCCCTTTGTGGAGGTAGAGATGTAGTCCAACCTATCAATCCGGTTATAGCCTAATGATGACTCCTTGGGGTGTGGCCTTTTTATAAGCAAGAGGCTGGACTGAACTAAGCCCTCTCTTGCCCCTTTTCACTTTCCTACTTTCCTGGAAACAGGCCTGTCTCTGGGGTTGGTGCCCTCGAGTTGTAGTACTGAGGTTTCTATTGGCAAACTATTGAACAGTTAAGAAGAATCAACAGAAGATGGCAGGAATATACAGAGTTATTGTACCAAAAAGAACTGGTTTACATCCAGCCATTTCAAGAGATTTCATACAATAAGAATTGATGATATTGAAAGAAGTGCAAACTTCACAGAAGGCTTTAGTGAAAAGCAAGGCTCTGGGAACTGACATGCTACCAACAGAAATATTTCAACCAGCTGATGAAACACTGGAAGCGCTCATTCACATATGCCAAGAAATTTGGAAGACAGCTGTCTAGCCAACCAACTAGAAGAGATCCATACTTGTAATCCACTCTGAAGGCTGCAATCCTTGATCTTCATCAGCAAATATTTTAAGAGTCCTCCTCACTTTCAGCAAGCAGGATTGTATCATCTGAATATCACAGATTGTTAATAAGCCTTCATTCAATCCTGATACAAAACTTTTCTCCATATAGTTCAACTTCTCTCATTATTTGCTCAGCATATATATTAAATAAGTATGGTGAGAGGATACAACCCTGGCACACAACTTTCCTGATTTTAAAACATGTAATATGCCCTTTTCTGTTCGCAGAACTGCCTCTTGTTCCATGAACAGATTACACATGAGCACATTGAAGTTTTCTGCAATTCCAAGTCGTCTCATGGTTATCCATAGTTTGTTATGATTTTATGATTCACACAGCTTTACACAGTCAATAAAACACATGTGAACATCTTTTTGGTATTCTTTGCTTTCAGCCAAGAGCCATCTGCTTATGAAATATATGTGCACCTTCTGGACCTGCCCAAGCTCAGCCTCACATTTATCTTTTCCACATAATGACAGCTTTCTGATGAATGTGTTCCAAACTTTAAAGACTAACTAGGTCAAACAACACCCAGTTCGTGAAGAGAACAGACAAAATAAGGGCTCAGACAATGAGTTCATGAGAGGAGCTCAGCCTATGAGTAGGCATTCAGTCTCTACCTTTTCAAAGGGGAGCAATAATCTACAGAAAGGGGCATAGAGTTACTTTACAATCACGTGATCTAGTACTTTGCAGAGGCTTTACATGGCAACCCTATCTATCATGGGCACTTTGAATATCACTGTATACACAAAAAACCAAAAACAAACTCACTGCCATGGAGTTAATGCTCACTCATAGCAATCCTCTGTGGGTTCCCAAGACTGTAACTGTTTATGATGTAGAAAGCCTAGTCTTGGGGGGAGGGGAGGAATTCTAAAATTGATATGGTAGTGATTGTGCAATTATCCTTGATATGATTGAACAATTGAACTATTGAATTGTAGGATATGTAAATTATATGCCAATAAAGCTATTATTAAACAATAGGAAAAAAGCCTAGTCTTTCTCCCTAGGAGCTGCTGGTGGTTTCTAACCACCAACCATTCCAATTGGAGCCCAATGTGTAACCACTACACCACCAGTGCTCCCTTATCATTGTATGTAATGGAGTCATAAGCCCAAAGTGGAAAGGTGACTTGGGCTTGCTGACAAGCCTATTCCTACT